ATCAGGCCTACCCAACTACCAGACTCGGCACCGAATGATCCTGAATTCACCGGTAGATCAGACCACACTACACGTTTTCAAGGTGTGTGTCAGATCGCATTACACAGTATCATACCCTGAACAAATTTTGAGTGGTGATGCAATGCTTTTCAACCCCGCTGAGAATTGTCACTATCACATCACGTACAAGACAAGAGCGGTGTCGCGTCTGATACTGTGTAATGCGATCTGACACACACCATGAAAACGGGTAGTGTGGTCTGATCTACCGGTGAATTCAGGATCATTCGGTGCCGAGTCTGGAAGTTGGGTAGGCCTGATTATGATGATAATTTATAAATGACTTTATTCTGTGTGATAGGCTCCAGGTCTTATATTACATTTGGCAATAATTTACATCACATTATGAAATATACGCATAAAAGTGACAATTTAATAATTTATAGGACTAAAAAAATTCTATGTCCATAGAAATTAACTCTGATTTTTCTGCCTTATGAAAATAAAGCAATTCTGTAAAGCATGAAGTTTCTTCGGTATCCATTATTCTCGTAAATAAGCCCTTCATGTTTGATTTTTTTATTACGGAAGTCCCATAACCATTTAATTCGATTAAGGGACGCGCGATTATAAAATATGATGTATGAGCGTGATATATGGATAGAAAAATTGAATGAAAATATATATATCCACCCCTCTAAACTCAGGGGCGGATCCAGGATTTTTTGAAGGGGGCGGTTTTATTTATTTATTTATTTATTTATGAATGCAGGGCTCGGATGCGAAGCCGATCCTTGTCCCCTTGGTGTGGGGTCAGGGGCCCGCGGAAGGGCCCCGATAATTTAGGATGTTTTGTAGGGCAGACGGGGCCATTTAGTAGGGCCTACGTTTTGAATCAATGATCCAACTAGTCAAAATTCTAATTTCAAGAGAGGAATATTGGTGTGCTCTTCATATATAGGAATATAGGTTAAGATCGCCCTCCCGCCCCCCCTCCTAAATTCACCACTGAAACTGTCTCAGGAAAGAGAACATTCATGGGGCATTTGGTTATGTAAAATTAAGTCTGGAACTCCTCTATACAAGTATATGACAAAGTTCAAACGATGAACTTGGACTAGTTTACCTCATATCAAGTCCATGACCCATGCCGAAAGCCGCCTTTGTTTATTTTATACACACTAAGTACTTAGACTTTCTTGCATAAGTGTACTCAACCAGTCTAGAAAACTCACGAGATTAAAGGGTTCGAGGTTATAGAAGGGGAGGGGGGGGGCTTTATTGATAAGACGGGGCAAAATTGACATCTTTATTATGGCGGGTGACTCCTTGTGAACAGGGTCGGTAGACGAATTTTATTTTTGTTTTAATATAATTTTTATATAGTTGTTTTATTTAAATGTCGATTGGGATTTTTACCATTTGATTATTATTATTTTTAGGGGGGGGTGACAAATTTACAGCGTGGGAGATTTCTGAGCGTAAAAATATAACAAAAAGTCAGCTTCAAAATGAGATAATAAATAAAATAAAAAAAGGTTTTGAAAAATTAAGTGGTGCAAAGAATTCTTCAAATACAGACTTACTGATTAATCTCATAAACCATTTTTTAAATATTTTTTCTGGCATATTTATCACCCTTTTTGTTGGATGTTATTCTTAAAATTTCAGTGGATGCACATTATTGTTGTACATGTATATCAAAATTGTTTTAATTTCAAACAATTATGCACTTGCTTTACAAAATACTTCGAAAACTCCTTTTTAATGTTATCATTTTCCATTCTGTTCATTCTATACGGATTTACACATATTGTTTGTTTGTTTTTTTTTTTTGTTTTTTTTTTTTTTTTTTTTTATGACGGATGAGTTGCAGAGTGTGTCTGTCAATAATTTGCTTATACCTCAAAATATATGTGGGAATTTATATTCCTCAAAGTCATTTCAGTTTTATTTTTCCACTTGCTTGTTGCTGTAATCAATGTTGTGCAACACACATTTTTTTTGTTAAAATATCTTTTTTAGTTTTTCGTAATAAACCAGACAGTAGCAAAGTAGACGTGTTCGCAGGAAAACCCCTTTCGGCCGGAAAGCGTCCTTCCTAAATCAAAATTTCATCCAGGTTCTATGTCATCTCACAAGCTGGGTCGACTAAAGGGACAATTTTTTCAGAAATAGAAAAAAAAACTATTTGTTATTGCTGGCTACAGGCCTGATAAATACTCTAAATAACCAGCCTGCCTTTACTATTCCCTCTCTAGTAAGTACTTACTTGCCAAAAAAAAAAAAAAAAAAAAAGACTTGATCAAAACCCAAGGCCTGGTCGAATAAACCGTTGGATAAAGATTNCCTGGGTGCTCAGAGGGGATAGGTTTGTGGAGATACGGGCCATGGATATACAGGTAATAAAGGAGGAGGGGATAAGGGAGGGGGTGGGGAAGGGGGGGGGGGGGAGGGGGGGGGGGGGGGGGGGGGGGGGGGGGGGGGCTCGAAAGAACCCCCCTCTTTGCAGAGAAAAGGCCCACTCTGGGTAAATTTGATCTTGGTAAACTTAAGTTTCATTACAAAAGGTCCACATTTTCAGAAAAAGACGCCCCCCCCCCTTTTTTCCACTTGTTAGCTACGGGCCTGACATCAATTTTATACCTAACGGTAAATGAGACATAGAAACCTTGAGTTTATCTATTGTGTATTTTCATTGCATTCAGTTTTCCTTAAGCGTCAATCACTTAAACATTTTAATAAAATAATGTAATAAGCCATAGAAATGATCTTAAAGAAGTAGCGAAGTGTGAATAAATCAACCCAAAGTGGCAGCATGCATAAATCCTACATCTGAGTTAATCTGAAAGTGAAATTAGTGCAGCTTCATCGCTATCAAGCTTTAAGTATTCCCCTCATGACGCTTCTCACCAAGCCAACGTTGTTTGCTCGTTGTGCAACAGGTCGCGCTGGGCCACGTTATGTGCCCTGCACCCTCGCCATTTTATGCAACACTGTCAAGGTGATTTAAATAGAAGTGAAGCGTTAGGAGCATTAGAGCACTCTTTGTTCTGATTGTTGAATGTGACATTTAGGGTATCGCTTGCTCAGGTGCGGTGAGTCATTCATGATCCGATTGGGGGGATTTATTAACACATGTTGGTCCATGGCACTGGCGATAATGATGAATAGTTCAAAGCTGGGCTGCCTTCTTTTTAAGTTTGTTATTTATTTTCCCAAATAAAAAAGGTGTGACAATCAAAAGAGCTTCGAGGGGAAAATCAAGGAGGGGCTTTTAGAGAAGACTGTATATTTTTGCGCAAAACAATTTATTTTTAAAAAATTATTCTCTCATGTTTTTTTAAATAATCATTCAAGTTGTTTATTTTTCCTTTGTTTTAAATGTAATGTCCATACAAATAGCAATAACTTCGAACATACGTGCAAGAAATAACAATAGTAACGATACTGAATACATGTACAATGCAAAATATATACCTGTGTACACTGTATATGACGGGTATAATACAAATGAACAGTATTTTATTTATTTCGAGGGGAAAGTTGAGGTGCGTCCGCAATGAAACTATCATGCTAGGTACCTCGGGGAGTCTCGCTGAATGCAATCAGATGGACACACCTCCTCTTGTATGCAGCTCACTCACATGATCACCAGCTTTTCTATATTCTACTCAATGCCAGGAGGCGTATAAATCTTACTGCAATCAGTGACAGTCCCCGCGGAGTTGGTTCGAACAGCCTAGTACGATAGTTTCATTGTGAGCGCACCCTGAGTGCCTGCAAATTCAAGCATTTTGTCTGGTTTACCCCCTACCCCAAACCAGGTGAGTTCACTTTAAGTTTTTTTTATTAAAATAAACACTTATATGTCAATCGTAAATTTTAATGTATTCTGATTTTGCTTATAAATGATAGCAGGCTATAAGCCCAAACCCTACTGTACTGTACCTCTTAAGTTGCCCGTTTGTTTGTTTTCGTATTTAAAACCCGCGAACGATCAACGTGATAACATCCAAATCGTGCCTGTTGCTGCGTTCACCTCATTATTTTAACATCGATATGTCATTGTTTTGTAACATTGTTATTCAGGAATGAACTGGGTCGGGTGCCAGGTCGCTAGGTTTGGAAAATTATGCAGAAGAGAAAACGAGATATGAGATAATGAAAGTGTAAAATACAGGTAGATGCAACGACTTCTGATGAAGGTGATCTAACTTTATTCTCCAAAACACAACAGCAATAGATTGATAATAAAACAGTTACAGCAAACGACAAATATGAAGAAAACAAGTTTGCAGGACAAAGAAGTAAATAATTAATATTTAGACATCAAATTTAGTGACAGCAATGTGTAAAATACCCCTAGCTTATAGGGATAACTATTCATACGAGATTCAAAATTCCACACTAAATACATTGTAAACAACACAAAAATATGATGAATGCCATTTCACCATCAAAACAGCAATTATTCTGAAATTTGTGCTTGCCATCGGACCACGAGGACCTTCACAGATGGCTACCCTCCGTACAAAAAACACACTATACTCAGTAGAAAAACCGATCGCCTTACTTTGAACGTGGGAACGAATTCATTAACCACTGAAAAGGATGGAAAATCGTGGTATACCCTAGGAAAATCCGTTTTAAGACACTTTTCCCGTCAAAAATTGAAGAGTTGTCCCAAATGTATAACAATGTAACTGTAAATGCCTGTAAATTTTTTTCAACACAAATCACAGTGACACCAATGAAAACATCGTATATATTTCCAGCTGAATACATATTTGTATTCTTAACCCGTCACCAATAAAATGATACAACTAACCAGAAAAACACCCCCTTCGTGGAATACTCTCTATTAATAAACATTTCATTAATGTGAACAAAATACAATAGTCAATACATGTAGTAGTACATCTTAAATACCAATGGAGATAGGAAGAGGTGGAGGGGTACACAAACATACAAATTATACCTTGCTTCACTGGGCAATAGTAAAAGCAAACGTAAAAATAGTAATAGTAATAGAGGGGGGGAGGGGGGGGGCTCCAACCTGGGGCTGCACGTGCCTCTCTGCCCCCATCCCACCGTCCTGGATCTACCACTCTCCTAAAACAATTTTAATTCCCAAAGATACTAAGATAACTATTATCATCCTGTGTGTTGGACCCCAAGCCAAAGTCTTCAGTTTCCCCATCGTCTTTCTCCCCAAACATTAACAAGGGGAGACTGCCATCACCCATGCCACCGAAATTAAATGGTGAGTTAGGGTCACTGTTGTTGTCCTTAAAGAAACCAAACGGGGAAGCTGCTCCAGACTTATCTCCACCTTGCAAGTCTGCCTCACTGCAACCAAACAGGGCCAAGGCAGAGTCACCGTTGCTTTCTGTGTCGCCAAAACAAAACTTTGGAGAGGCGCTGGGATTTCCAGCACCAGCACCACCAGCACCACTGCAGAAAACATCAAATGCATCAGATGAATCTCCATCACTGGTCAGAAAGTTTGGCTGACTGCTGGGATTTGGTTCTGAGCCAGTCTGTTTACCCTTATCTTCCCCAGACCCACATCTGTTGACCAGTGGAGCCTGGGGACCTCCATATGTTTGCTGGAATGCTGGCTGCCCATCTCCCTGCCCCATGTGTTTTGAGACTTTAGACGTGGAGGGCCTGAGATACGTGGGGGACTTCTTGGCTTCTGTAAGGTGTAAAGTATGAAACCAAGTTCTCAGGTAATCATCAAGCAATGGTTACAGTGAATAATGTGGAGCTGGGCTCCAAATTCATAAAATGAATAAAAGATTATGTAAATTCCCAGTTGGCTAAAAAAAAGAAAAAAAAATTCCTCATTTTCAAAAATTTACTAGCATTTATTCACCATACCTTTGAGATCCAAAATGAACAAAAAAAAAATAATAATAATAAATAAATAAAATAAAAAAAACCCTGAAAAGGATAGGTTAAAAATATTCAAAAACTAATAAACAAAATAACTGTATAAAGAAAATGAAAGTCTCTGCATGATGTACCTGATATTGGTGTTGATGGCATTTTAAACATGGGTTCTTCTCTTGGTTTGGGATTCAAATTTTGCTGCCTGTTATTTGTCTGATTTGGTAGATGGCCTCTTGCATCTGTAATTATTACTTGAATTTAGGAATGATTTTACTTTCATTTCAAGTTTAAATTGTTTCATCAGAATATTGTACCAGTATATATATATATACTATATGTAAATCAGTATGAGCATTTGTTAATTCTTTCCTTACTTATCTATTACTAAAATCCTATTTTTCATTTTGTGTGTATTCTTGCCACCTAATATAAAACCATTACTTTTGTATTGTCTTCTTTGTATAAAAGGGGATTATAAAATCAAATATAAACAACAGAAAAGAAGAAAAAAGTCAATGCCAAGGTCAGATTAATCCTGAGCACGAAATTAATGCTAAAATACAATTTTTAACATACATGCATATATGTATTCATTTTGCTATGAATCCTATTGACCTCGTACAGAAAACCTCCACTAAACAAACATATTTCTTCGTTTTTTCAATCTTTTTTGATATTTTTTTAAATGTTCTCCTTACCTGGAGATGGACCTCTGTTCTGACCAGTACTCATGGTACCAGCAGTTCCAGTTGGGAAAGTAGGGCTGGTGGTACTGACATGTACAAATGACATCATTTCTACTGCTCCTTCCCTCTGTGTCTGTGGTCCAGAAAAATTAACAAACAGAAAAAATATGCAAATAATTCTGAGCAAATTAAAGTAATTTAATGGTAAATATATGTCAGAGGACTGGAAATGAAGGTAGCTAAAAACAGGTACATTTTGGTAATAACATGAAATATATGTTGTATAATATCTTAAACATATAATAATAATAATAATATGCACTTTTAAAATTCATGCAGTTTCAAACTTTACTGTAATGAGTTCTGTTGGGAATTACAGTAGTATGGTTAAAAAACTACAAACAGTGTAACACTATTAAAAGAATGCTCCTTTGGAGTTTACAACAGTACAACCTACATATTTACATCAAACTTTGCCTCCAGACATTCATACTTGATCTGCTATCGCTATCCGTTTTGGATCAGGTGCTTTATTTAATGCTGCCACAATTTGTCTTTCCTGATGCAAATCAAAGGTATGAATTACTTACACTGGGTTTAAACATTGGTCTCTGGTTGAAGGTAGGACCAGTGGGGGACTTGTTACTCATCAGATGGATCTTCTTCAGATGGCCCTCCAGGTTGAAGGGGCTGTCTGGATCCAATGGGATATCTGACATATTGGTATCACTGTGAGGGGTGCCTGGAAGTACATGTAGGAGTGGTGAATACAGGTAAATCAACAGAAAATATAAATAAATAAATGAAATAGACTGTAATGAGTCCTTCAATATGGGTGATTTGAACACTGATGGATAAATTTTAAATTTTGCTTTTATTATATTTCATTTAGCCAACAAATTCTTAAATTCTTCACAATAAATTCTTTATTTTTTGTCAGTAAAATTCAATTTTTCATTCTGTTCTGGTACATAGATTATTATGATTTATATTGTACAATAAAATATATTTTGGTACATTACCATTATGTAATTGGTACCAGAATGCAATAATCTACAACATGAGGTTAACAGTGCAAAATAAAGATTTGAAAAGTGGGATATCATATTTACAATTAAAAACAATTTTTGTGGGAATTATCTATATAGTAATATCTAATATCAAATATTGAATTTTAATCATTTTTCCTCTCTAAATTTGGAATGTCATGCAACTTACACTGTTTTCTGTGTTTTGTCTTTAAAAAAATGACATGTACCAGTAGTATTAAAACGAGGACTCAAAATCACTAAACAAATATGTCACCAAACCTGGTGTAAGAGGTCCTGCCTCACTCTGCATGATGGGATGTGGTGAACTTTCAGTACTTGACTCTGTAAACAAACATGTTATTATCAGTGTCACAACTGGAATCACAGGGTTCAGTGATTAAAAAATGAACTTTCCAGAAATACTTAACCCATCTGAGTATGTTTTATACATTTTATGTAAAAAGACCTTCCGTGGCTTTAATGGAGATCATTACTATGAAACCCAGATATTGAAAACACCATAACTGAACAAACCAGGCTGTATCAGCTGCTGTTTTGGCCTAGCAGGTGTCTGCAGCATGAAGGTGTTGTTGTATGAGCCTGGGTCATGTACTAGAGGACTGCCAATTCCCTCCCTCCCTAGAGATGGTGGCTGTTGGTGCTCCATCCAGTTGGACTGATGTTGACTACCAAGTGCTGGCTGTTGAAAAAAGTGACATGGCTCATTCAAATTCCCTTCTTTAATTTCTTGTTTACTGCCAGACCTTTGTCCACAACCCAAAAATCACAATCCATTATGGTCAATATAATATATGTATTTAAAACAAATAAAATGAAAGAAATGTCGTACAAGTACCACGCAGTCTGAATTTACCTGTCTGGCTGTTTCAACTTTCTTCTGCAGTTGTTGGTTCTGGACTTGCCTTAGTAAAGTGTTATTTGGTCCCTGTTGTTGCTGGAAAATGAACATAGAAATGCACAATACTGCATGAATTAAGTTGAAAACTTTACTTTTTTTTTTTGTCTTTTTTTAAATTTCAAGTTATTCTTTCTGAAAAAGTATACACAAATTGAAATATGAGAGTATGATTTTACTTTCATGCAAAAAAAAACAACAAAACATGTATCTGGTATCATTAGCTTAATGCCTTATAGTAAGAATATATATGTTACACATGTTACAATTTATGACACAACAAAGACAAAAAAATCAACTGCAGTGATCACTGCTGGAAATAACAGATTACCCCTCTGTCTAAGATACTGCTTGGTCTTGTGGGCATGACTAGCTTTGGTGGTGATTTTCTCTGAGGAGTTCTAAGCCCAGGCATCACATTAATAGCTGCAGCCCTCAGCTGAGACTGATTGGTCTGCAGCTGCTGAGATCTGGAATACTGTGGTGAATGCAAGGGTTGCACAGTGCTAGGCTGCTGTTGTTGTGCCACAGACTGAGGGTGAGTCAAGCTCTGCTTATCAGCTCTGGAAGACTGTGGTGTATAAAGTGATGGAGTACCACAGGTTTGTGATTGTTGAAACATAGCTTGGCTACTTTGTGACTCCCGTGGTCTTAACTGCAGTGGGTTGTAGGATTGTGTATCATACAGTGTGGGGAATGGGGCCTGGTTTGACTGTATATTCTGAGGGTCAGAGTTTGGATGTGTTTGAAGAGACTGTCTGGTGAAGACCTGTAAATGGGGTTGCTGGGGCAACTGTGGCATGTGTGATTGTGTTAGTTGTGACACAAACTGTGATTGTTGAGGAATGGTGAACTGTGACTGTTGAGACACAGCTGGTTTTGTTTGCTGAGGCAATGTTGACTGTTGTTGAAGCAATGTTGACTGTGGTTGAGGCAACATGGACTGTGGTTTCTGTTGCTGGTGCACCAACACATTTTGATGTTGCTGTTGCGTCTCATCACATCTTTCTTCAATCCTGAAAAAATGTACTGATGATTCATGTCATCATGTCATCAATTTCATCAATCAAAGTTACATGTACTATTATATATGTAAATTACAAGTTAAATATCAGACACATAATAATAACTACATGAACTGGGGTTATTTTCCTTGAAGCGCTCAGTCATAAAATGCTTCATATTGTGTACGTGTGATTCGTAAAATCTATTTCCTTACATTTCCAATCCACCATCTTCTGCTGTATCTTCAGCACACATGGAATGGGTTTGTTCAAATCCCTGTGATTCTTGGGACTCTTCCTACATTGACAATGAGAAAATTAAAAGTGAGAGAGAGAGACAGACAGAGAGAGAGAGAGAGAGAATAAGTGCCTGTAGCTCATATATTTAACTATTAAAATGTCTCAATTTGATATTTGTAATTGAATGATACCTGTCTGAGCCTCTCTGCCCTTTTCTGCTCCAATGTATTCTGAAGTTCTGCCAACTGCTCCCTCATTTTCTCATTATTTTCACTTGTTTGCCATGTCTTAACCTTGTACTCTGCTCTTGAAAGTAAAGTTAAGGAGGAGAAAAGCAGTCTATGAAGCTTTAAGGCTACAAGTCCTCAGGGAATCAGGGGCTTTGTTAAAAATCCTTCACATGCAAATTTTTTTTTACTAGCCCGGTGCTCTTTAGGTGAGCAACCGACTTGGGCATAGGCTTAAAAATGCACCGACTGGAATAGTATCAATAACAAGTTCAGAAATTAATGTCAACACACTTAATTACCACAATTTAAAATCTGAAGTACTTATCCTGAAATAATATAAAAGTATATTAGTGAAAAATGTGAAAGACTGGGTTAAAGTAGCTTGATTAAAAACAAATTAAGGACTGTATGAGATGCATAATGAGGTGTCAATAATTGTGATTGTTGAGAAATTTGGGGTACATTGTGATACATTGTGATATAGGTGTATAGTAAGAACAACCTGATACACTCTTTGAGCTGCATTTGAATTGAAATAAAATAGATAATTGACAAATCTTTTATTGTATTTTGATTCTAAAAAAGGAATGCTGGTATATAAATAAGATCTATATATTTCTAAAGGATACAATGCTACCACAAACTCTGACAAGGAGTTGAATGCCTGCACAGTATCTTCCCCTTGAACAAAAGAAAATATTATTAATGACCGATTATGAAACATTGAATTTGGGTTTGACAATTACTTTAACTTTATAGAAGTTGGTTACAAAAAGTCATAAAATAAAATATATTTTTACATCAACAATCACTCAAAACTGAATGTACACCCATTGCTGAGGCTATAATGACCATAAACTCAGCAGTGATGAAAGAGGACCTGCTAAAAGTGTAATGGGGGAGGGGGGGGGGGCACAAGTACAACATCCTAATATCCAGATATACCTGGAAGACTTTCATATCTTACTCAGCAAAGGCTGATACAATACACCTGGTAGCAGTTCACCAAAGACCAGCAGGCCCGTAGCCAGCAATTTCAAAAGGGGGGTTCTTTTTCTGAAAAAGTGGACCTTTTCCTATAAAGACTTCATGAATCTAGATTAAATTTTACCCAGAGTGGACCTTTTCCCACCAAAAGGGGCGGTTCCTTCGAACCCCACGAACCCCCCCTGGCTATGGGCCTGGACCAGGCTGTAATGAGCATACAGATTTTGTTAGGAAGAAAGAGCACTCACTCCAGCTTAATCTCTAAAAATGCATGGACCTGATCCAGTATCTTTCTACATTCTTATGGGAGCTAAATTATATGCTGATGGGTGTGCATGTATAACTGAACACAAGTTCATTGTGGGACTGATAACAATTTTATTAAAAATTTTCTCACCAGTCTCATCCTCTCCATTAGCCCTTCTTATCACCTTCCTGAGTTCTTCTGCCCGCTGTCTCAGTTTCTTTTCTTCCTCCTCTGTCTGCCTAACAGCTTCTTGCTCAGCCTCCAGAGCCTGACAGTAAGGAAGGTGGGAAAGAAAAGGATTAGACTTCTTAGCCTTCAGATTCAATCTTATTAGATCGTTACAGTCTAGATTTGACTGACCAGACACATTTTTTAAACAGTATTACATTGTAGTCTGAATGTATGTTTATCTCAATGCACCTGGTATATACAGTATTTACCTTTACCAGTTTATGTATACTGCTGCAGTCTTTACAAGCACATTGTATGCATTATTAAAAGATATTCTAACATAATATCTTAAGCTATGCCAGATTTGACAATGTTGCCCAAATCACTGGATAAGAGTCTAGTCATGCCACAAAAGTGTAGGCCAAGGATAAAAAAATAATAATTGCTACATGTATTTTGCCATACCTTTGCCAGTGGGAACTGTTTGTATGTGGCCTCATAGTCCTGCCACATAGCTGCATAATGTGCCACAACCCCATCATACTCAGCTCTGAAATTATTAAACCTACTTATTACACTTTATTCAGTTAACTAAAATTATTGTTTATAAAATTATGAAATAAACATGTACAAGTATAAAACAAGCGCAGAGTTTTACAAGAACCATGTATATCCAACGAAAATATTTATTTGGTAACACCCAAAAGGCCAAAGTAAAACTGCAGGAGACAGGTATGAATCTAAATATGAATTCTATGATTATATGCCAGCAATATCTCTTCCTCACCTACCTTTCTTTCTCATGTTGTAGGCAAATGTTTTCAATTTTTTTCTGTAGGGCTTCTGCATGTTGTGCTAATAAATCTGTGGTCTGTTTCAAACTATAAATAGAACAACTTAAATGCTAAAAAAAGCTGCATAAGATTTGAGCCAAATTCTAAACTAAAAATTAATTACAAATATTAAATCTTTCTTTTGATTGGTATTATCATAGATCTAATATTGAATAGTATTTTTGTTTTTGGTTATAGTGGTTACTCAGACTGCATTCCTCACAACTTCACTCAAAAGATTTAAACTTCTTAATATTGCAAGGTACATGTATATATATATGCTTACAACTCTGGCCATTTGCATGTGCTTTCCAAAAAAAAAAATAAAATAAAATAAATAAATAAATAAATAAATAAATAAATAAATAAAATGAGACCCAGAGTGAAATAAGACAAAGTTCATAATAATCATCCCTTAAGTAAGAAAAACACTTGTATCTTCAAGTACCACAGTACCTTCCACAACTAGCCCTGTTTTGTGTGAATTGTTGATGGGCTGTCCTGATGTCTTCATCTAACTGAAAAGTGGCTTCATGCAGTCTTACTGTGCCTTGCTGAGCCTCCTGTATCTCAGTGGTAATTGCTGACCATTGAAAATAAAGAAATATTGAGATAAATATGATCTGTTATCTTTTGGTACAAAAAAAAAGGCTTTTGGTACAAAAAAAAGCCCTGTTTTGATCATGTTACATGATGGTGTTTCACCACTGTATCAACCAGCAGATGGTGCCTTATGCATCATGACAGAATAAAAATTGACCCCCCCCCTCCCCCCAATTTCACTCAAATCTGTTTATAGTGCACAAGGATAGGTCACATTTTTCATCATTTTTTAAAATTCATTTATTTATTTCTGCTTCAAAATGATTCAGTTTATTTTTCTTTCATAAAAATACTAATAAAAAACATATTTTAATGCAAGAAACAGGCAAATATATAACCCAAATCATAATAACATTTATTTATTAAACATGTTATATTTGCCTACTCTCTTGGACATATAAAATTTTTCAAGAAAGAGTTGAACACTTTTAAAATCCCATTTAACAGCCTGTTCTTGACTTTCAATATGAAAAATCGACCAACTTATGATTAGTACCTGCAAGCTGTTGTTTCTCTGATTCAATCTTCTTCACAAGCTGACTGTTTTCAAATTCTGGAGAAAAAATCAGTCATTCATTTAATTTCATTATACATGTACTTTAGCATATTTTTTTTTTCAAAAATTAAATACAGGCACATACCTAGACCAAGGACCCGCCAGTCTAGCATAGGCGGTGGTGTACTAACTACTGGTATAGGTACTAGTAAAGGGGTTGACACTATATTGTTATTATTTTTTTTTTTTTCAAATTAGTCTGTGCAGACCTTACTAAAGTATAAAATCAACTTCCATTGCTTATCATTGTAAAGAAATATGGTACTTTTGCAATCTCCCTTATTCTTAATATTCAATTACAGACATTACAGTAAGTTAATTTGCTATTCACATGATTTTTACTGTACTTTGAAAATGTACTCATTTTTTATCTTTTTTATTAAACATTCAAGCACTTTGGCTGATGAAATTACAGAAAATTTTCACCCCAGCGACGGCCCCAGCTCTCACAAAATTTGGTTGGTATCAAGTTTCATGAAAAAACATTGATTAAAATGTTTTTTTTTATGAATCGCCAAACTAATTTATTTGAATAGCAGAGCCACTGCTCAAAGTAACCATACAAATAAATTCAGAAATGATATTGAAAATAAAAAAGTTATATCGTGGGGTAAATACTAAAACTACAAAAGTGCCACATATGAATGTAAAGTGCACATACTGTACCCTCAAACTACACATTGGACATTCACTGATTCTGTGATTAAATAACTTTTAAGTTTTACCATTTAAAAGTACATTACCTAAATCCTTGATAACTTTATCCAAATCTACCGAGGACATATTTTCTGGATATTTTGCGTTTCTTATCCTAAGCTTTCGCTCTGTCGTCTGCAATGACATAACGAACCATAGGTGGCGCTCAAGATAAGCCACGCCCAAGCACAGTTATCTTTTTGGGGACGGGGGCACACGAATACATTTCCCTCTTTCTAAAAGTCATTCTTTTATTCTGATTTCATTTTAAAGTAAATCGTTTTTTACGGCAGCCAAATATAGAGCAAATTCGTGCACCCCAAACATGAAACAATTAACAATCTGGCTGTGAAACACGTACATACTTACATGCACACAAAAGGTTTCGCTATCCCGGCCCGAGAACTAGCCCGCCGAGAACAATTCTCGTTCTCGATCTCGGGGCCTACGTGGCCATACAGGGTTTCGCATTCCCGACCCGAGAAATCTGTTTTTTTAGCGCGGTGTGTAGATGGCAGCAGCTCATAAAATGGCGATCGGCGGCGCAGCGCGAATGCTTGAACTGCATGGCTATTGAGTACGATGATGCCGAGTTATTTGATGCTGGAATGCATCTAACGTGATCTCAGACTGCCTTCTTTTGACGTTAACTGGAGTCCCCAACTGTCCAGGAATATCTTGGGAATTGAACTGTCACCTCTGACTAATTACAACAAGACGAACAAACATGAATTTAAAGGATTTGCTTCTAGAATGGCTTCAACGGAACATATTCTTCAGAAAACATGCCCAACTAACGATATCTTTATCCAAATACACAAATTAAAAGCTCATTTTGTAAATTTTTGGCTTTAAAAAACGTCCTATTTGCTCGGCCTGGGAGTTAATGAGCTACG